TGTATGAACGTGTGTGTAGTAGAGTTATGTGTGTGTAGTAGAGTGCTGTATGAACATGTATGTGTAGTAGAGTGCTGTATGAACATGTGTGTGTAGTAGAGTGCTGTATGAACATGTGTGTGTAGTAGAGCACTGTATGAATGTGTGTGTGTAGTAGAGTGCTGTATGAACGTGTGTGTAGTAGAGTTATGTGTGTGTTGTAGAGTGCTGTATGAACATGTGTGTGTAGTAGAGTGCTGTATGAACGTGTGTGTGTAGTAGAGCACTGTATGAATGTGTGTGTGCAGTAGTGCTGTATGAACGTGTGTGTGTAGTAGAGCGCTGTATGAATGTGTTACCATTAAATGAAAGTGTCATCATAGTCTCTGACTGTCTAACTTCTGTTTTCTAAATAACCTCATGTTGCAAAAAGGCTCAAAATTAAATGTTATAATAGATAAAATTAAATATCAATAACGAATAAAACCGATATAAACACAGACTAACCTAATTTTAAAAAGGACTTTATAAAATGATTAGCAAACTGTCAGAGCCTTTACTGTATTCAGACAACATCCTAGTACAACCTCAAGCCAAAAAGTTGAGATGTGTAAAAAGTTAAAAAACAAAAAAACAACAGAATGCACTGATTTGCAAATTTCATAAAATCTATATATTATTCACAATGAAACATAGTAAACACATCAAACGCCTAAACCATCAAAACCAATGACGATGGACCAAGTACCTCCGTCTTCTTCTATGTTCAGAATTGGAGCCCAATCGTTGTTTTGTTTTTTAGGAGCTGCCTTCTTGTATTTCTGGAGGTACAACAGAAAAGTGTGGCTGTACCTTCAATATAAAAGTCCTGCATATACACAGCCGCCCAATCATAGGCGTCGCAACAGTTATATATGAAGTGGACATGTCCCCCTCATATTTAAAAAATATTCGTTTGGACCCCCCACCCCCACCACCACCAAACACACACACACATTTATCATGAAACATTAGTTCAACCAGCACTGTTTCTATTTCTTCATGAACTAATCCATTCCACTTGATCTATAGGAGAATACTCAAACCACTAAAAGTCCACTCCGGATTTTCTTGGTTACCTACAGCAAGTCACCACACTGCATGCAGTGTTTCTCCGAGGTCACTTGACAGGTGGGGGGAGGAGGGGGAGACACCTCTGTGTTGTGCACAGCACCACGTTAGTGCGGGCTGTTGTTGATCGGGGTCATGGGGTCGGGGGTGTTAGGATGTATGACAGAAGCAGAGCTTCGTCTGTAGCATCTTCACTATTGCATCTGTATTGCGTGCCGCTAGCTTAGAGCTATGTTAGTGTTGGCAGTTGTCAAATGGGGTGTGTGTGTGGGGGGGCATTGTGCCATGCTCTCATAGTTATTGAATCGTGTTTACTTATGTAGGTAAATGTAGATGTTAACAACCTGTTAAAATACACCAGAAAGCAGGAAATACCATCCATCCATCCATTATCTTTACCCGTTTGTTCCATTTTGGGTCACGGGGGTCGCTGGTGCCCATGTCCAGCAATCACTGTGCGAGGGGCGGGGTACACCCTGGATGGGTCGCAAGTCCATCGCAGGGCCACATAGAGACAAACAACCATTCACTCTCTCACTCACACCTGGGGACAATTTAGAGTTACCAATCAGCCTAACATGCATGTTTTTGGTCTGTGGGAGGAAACCGGAGTACCCGGAGAAAACCCACGCATGCACGGAGAGAACATGCAAACTCCACCCAGAAATGCCCCTGGACCGGGGTTTGAACCAGGGACCTGCTCGCTGAGAGGCAGCAGCTCTACCAGTTGCGCCACCGTGCTGCCCGCAGGAAATACCATTGACTTTATTCAAAATTTTCTGGGGGAGGACCCCCACACCAATGTGCCCCCCCCCCCCCCCCACATTACAAATGCTTCTGATGCCAATGCTCCGGTGCTCTAACAGGCTGTCAGACTTGTCAGTCATAGTGCAGCATGACACGTTCCTTTACGTCTCAAATACCAAACATAAGGAAAACTGGACATTGAACATACAGCAGCAAGGTAAACGCTTCGTGAACCATCAACAATCAACACCTGAAAAATGATCTGAAGTTTATTTTGTAATCAGAAAAATGTCCCCTTTTACACTGAGGGACTAGACTGATTACTGAGACATAAAACATAGGGACAGGCAACAAAAAGCTGCAAAGGTAATGATTAAGAAACATTTTGCCACTCAATAATTAGCAACATTTCAGCTGGGTGTAAAAGGAGCGAGGATGTAGAACTGGGCAGAGGGTTAACGATCTGCAATTAAAACATCTCATCAGTTGAAAACTTCTGGTGCATCTTGAAACAAAAACCTGGCAAAGAGTACCCAAGACTAAAAAAGTCCATGCTCAATAATCCAGGTATACAATCCAACAATTTTCAGTCAGGTCATCTGGACAGTTTCTTTTTTTGTGCTGAAACGTTTCACCTTCCATCCAGAAGGCTTCATCAGTCAAGGAAACACACAACAACACTGATTCTTCCTCCAAACAGCTTACTCCAAAGTGGAACAAGCCAGTTATGTTGGTGCTAAGATGGTGTCTTTGGCACCCAAGACTGTTGAACTGCTAGAAAAGTTGCCTGTCCCAATGTTTTTATGTGTTGCTGCTGTCAAATTCAAAATCACATAATTTTCCACTAAAATTGCATTTTATTAATTTCAACATTTGATCTGTTTAATATGTTTCATTGTGAATAGAATATGGGTTTATGAGATTCACAAATCATTACATTGTTTTTATTCATACTTTACTCAATGCCCTACCTTTAAAAAAAACAAAACAACTAAGGTTGTATTTGTTAGCTCCACTCAACGACACGTTCATTTGGAGTTATTTAAATGTAGTTAGGAGCCAAAAATAATAAACAATAACTTCCTATTTAGTGAACAACTTATTAAATGGTCTAATCCCGACATTTTGACGAGTTCATTACTGACCTATTTAGAAAAAATGTTAGTAACGCCCAATACTGTTACAGCTACGGTTGTTGTAACTTGCTGATCTTAGATAAGAAGCTGAGAGTAGCTTCACGTCTAGAAGCCTATTCACAGTTTACGCTCTATCTAATCACCACTGCATTAACTGAAGCAAGCACGGAGATGAGTTCTGAGGAGCTCTGCAGTCCTTCTGGCAACAAACCGGTTTCATGGGTACAAAGCCAACCAGTGTCTTTCACAGAGAACCTATTACATTATTCAGTAAAGTTAGAAAATGTTTTAAATATCCATCTTATTATCACCACTGTGGTTTTGCAAAAACACCAATATTAAGTAATTACAGAATTGCACACTCGCTCTCACTAATGTTCTGTCTCATCCTCTCAGAGAAATAGTGGTTATTGTTTATGGTGACGCAGTGTTTTGTTACAGCGGTGTCTTCTCTCAGAACATGGTGCATCTCTTCCCCCTCTTCTTCACTGGTGGGGGGCAGAGCACGGCTCGGATGGCCTCGTCAAATACAGTCTTCAGCCCTCGCTGGGTCAACGCAGAGCACTCCAAGTACTTCACAGCACCTGGGGACCAAAAGATACTACGATGACAGAAGCTCTCTGTGACAGCTCTGACTAATGGTGGATCTTGTCATTTAGGTCAAATTGAAACTATTTTCTCAAACCGAGGTTATGAAAATCACTTCTGAATTGAGACTGAGGGCTACAGTCCTGAATGCTCAGCGTTAATGATGCCATTTACAAGAAGCTAAAGACCAAACATTCCTTGAAGGAATGCCCAAACTCAAGCCAGAGTTTTAAACAAAGATCATCTTTAACAAGCGGTACGCCGATGTCCCCCATCGCTGAGGGATTTGAACAGTGAATGTTTGTCGTTTTCAAGACTATTTAAGACTCGGACTGAACTGAGCAGTGAATCTAAGTAAACCTGAATGCTTTTGGTGAAAGATATTAAAGTGGGTAGGAGTTACACTGTGGAGGAGAACAGAAGTAGACGTTCTTTGCAGCACAGTGTGATGGATTCTGGTGGGTGGAGGACGCTGATTAACCACCACCAGGTGCAATGGTGGAGCTACGGGGTGGCCAGTGGTGGCTTTGGACACACAACCTTTGGCCACCCATTCTTTTGAGGAAACTATACTCATAAGCAATATAACACAAGGAAGCATAGTTTCTTCAAATGGTTGGGGTGGTCGGTTCACACATATAAAACATAAACAATGTGCCAAGTCAACACATTGCTGATTTTTGAAGTTTTTAAGCCACAAGGTCACATATGTACAGGTATGGTGGAAGCCATCTTGGATGTTGATGTGGCAACATTATTTCTAACGGTAACCATTTTTTTTTAGCCATTTTGATCAAACCTTGAAAATAAAAGTTACAGGAGTCCCTTGATACTTCGCGTTTTGACTTTTGCGGACTCACTCTTTCGCAGGCTTTCAATGTAAGACTGTACATGACACACAACTTGCTGATTGATGGAAGGTGACCATCACTCTGGTATCCGCCTCACTGAAGCTCCTAAAGCAGTGATGGGCAAAGACAGACCCCACCCCTCCTTTCTTTTTCTGAGGCTGTCAACCCCCTCGGGATGCTTCTCCCCCTTCGCATCTGAACCAGGACCCGGCAGGTGGTTCCGTGTGGTCGAGGGAAAATTGAAGTCCTTCCCCGGCCCGCTGGAGGGGAGGGAGACTAGCCAGAAGGAGAGCCGGCCGAGGAGAGGCCGTACGGGGCGGCCGAGCTCCTGCCTGGACGTGAGAGAGTTCCGGGGGATTGGGGTGGGGGGCAGACAGCTGAGAGAGCTGGCCTCACCAAAGTGAGTGGCATGGATTGTTTATTTAAAATAATCAAGCACGACCCGATCAGTCTGTCTGCTCTCTTTCGCTGTACTCTTTTAGAGCATTTAGAGAGTTAAGAGCATTGTTAAGAACATTGCAAGAGTGTGGAAAGGTTTACAAACCCTTAAAATATATATAAATACTCAAATTAATACTAAGATAAATATAATGTCCCTACGTCGTGGATTTTCACTTATTGCTGAGGCATCTGGAACGTCACCCCCACTGTAAGTGAGGGACTACCATACGAGCAGAATGGTGTAATACTGAGTTGTGACTCTGAACTACTACGACATGAAAGCGTAGCTCTGTATCTGTAAAAAGGACAGTGTTATAACAATTTTTATCTTGGCCTATATTTATTAGCTGTGGTGGCCATCTTCATTGGACTGTGGCTGAGTGGTTAGAGCAGTCGTCCTCCAATGCAAGAGTTGGGGGTTCAAATCCACCAGCAGTCACATGCCCAAGTGTCCCTGGGCAAGACACTGAACCCCTCATAGCCTCTGATGTGTGTCCCATCAGTGTATGAATTTGATCTAAAGCTCTGATTAGTCTCTTTAGAATGAATTGTTCAATTATCTTTGTAGAGATCTAGTATAGAGCTGTATGAATGGGTAAATGAGGCACAGATTGTTGTAAAGTGCTTCGAGTATCTTGAGCAGATAGAAAGGAGCTGTATGAGTACAGTCCATTTACAATCTGTACAGTGGTTTATGACATATTTTGCTAATAGACAAACACGGTTGACTCCAAGAGCGAACTCCAAAGTTTGGAGCAAAGATCTCACACCAGAAGCACTTGAAGTACATGTTGTGAATGACTCTCAGCAACTACCCAACTCCTTGGCTCAGTGCTTGTAAAAATGAGTTATATCACTGTTGTGCATTCTAAGCTCAGTTGGCCTTGGTAGCCATCTTGAATTGAGTTGGCTCCAAAGGATTATCACTTGTAAAGTTATAACTAATGATTATTTCCTGAAAGTTTCTTTAAAAACAGTTCAGTAGCACACAAGTTTTCTTGTAAACAGACAGAGCTGGCTTCATATAGTTATGGCAAACGTTCTCACAGTTTGATACTGCTCAGAATAAGCATTGGGGATCAGGTTCAGCTACTACCACACCAAATCTTAGGTCATTATCTGTAAAACTGTTATAGCAAACTTTGTGTTTTCTAAGACCAGTTGACTGTGGCGGCCATTTGAACAGGGTTTATTGCAAAAGGTAACCAGTTGTAGATGCACATTTAAGGATTACTTTCTGCAATTTACTTTAAAAGCCCTTTAATGGTTCTTGAGATATTTTGCTAACAGACAGACAGAGATAAAAACGGACTAAAAACATGTTTAGAGGCATGTTTACAGGCACACACACAGCCTCACCAATCTCTCTGGCCATAGCCAGACCCTGAGGATAGGTGATAGGGGACAGCTTCTTGTCCCGCAGCCTCTCAATGGTGTCCTTGTCATCTCGCAGATCCAGTTTTGTTCCCACCAAGATGATGGGTGTGTTGGGACAATGGTGTCTCACCTCAGGATACCACTTACACACCACACACACACACACACACACAGCACGTATGAATAAACGAAAGACAATGCCAGTGGAAGAGGGGGAAAAAACAGAAGTTAGATTATCGCAGAAGCAGAACATACTGCACCTTCTCCCAGTGTTTCCCCTACCATTATACAAGCGGGGTGCCCCACCCCGTCAACGGAACTGAGCACCCCGCCTACCAAACCTAATTCCCCCCCCACCCGGCACTGATATAGCACTAAGCTAGCAGTGCAAAATACAGGCTCTCTAGCTAAAAAGCTAAATGTGCCTCTTCCCTCATGCTGAACAACCCCTGCCCCCGCTCAAAAACTGTTGGTACAAGCTGCGCTCAGACATGTCTCCATCCCTCCCCATCAACAAAAATCATGGATGAGATGAGCACCCCTCCATGGCAAGCTAACTAGGAGAAACATTGTTTCCTGTTGCTAAAAAGCAGAATTGAAGTTGTGGCTACATTTAAAAAAGTTTTTCAATAATCTTAGAACATAAGTACAGATTTTTGGCAAAATGACCTCCGATCACATTCCACATCAAGCAATGAGAAGATCCTGTCACACCAGAAACACAGAGACTCTGCACGGGGATGCCAGGACCTGGTTTACAGCGTGATTTCATCTGAGAGCATCTCATGATGCTCAGCAGACCAAACCACAGCCGGCCCTCCAGCTTCCTCTACAGAGTGTCAGAACTCCTTCAGGCCTCGTCCTACAATGTCTCTTTGTCCTCCGTCCTCAGGAGGCTCCGTTAAGATCCAGAGCATTCTAAGACGAGGACTGAGCGGGCAGAGCAGGTGTGCCACAAACCAGGTGGAGCCATAGATGTGCCTCGTAGTGGTCAGACTCGGCGTGGAGGGGAACAAAGAGGGAGGGGGTGGGTGGTCAGTCAGCGTACTGACCTTAGCTCGGACGTTCTCAAAGGAGGCCGGACTGACCAGGGAGAAGCATATCAAGAACACATCCTGGGAGAAAATCAGAGAAATGACTAGTTGAGAATCAAATCTTTGTGTGTGTCTGTTTCTCTGTGTGTGTATAAATTCTACTTATTGTTTTATTACAGTTTTCTGAACTAGATCACGTTTTAGCAGGATCTCTACCAGACTGTAACCTCTAAATAATAGAAATAAAGTTAAAAAAGAATAAACTATTGCCTTTAATGTAAACTAATGGTGAAAGAATAAAAATCAAATCAAAGAGTATGCACTGATCCACTATTCCCCTTTCACATTTTCACTTCCTGGTCTGCAGCCTTCATACATCTCCTCCTACATGTCTCTGTGTGAGTGCAGCTACAGCGTGCGCTCTCAGGACATCATTACCTGCAGTGTTCCCTCAGTGAGGACTGAACTAGACAAAAGGGCCTTCTCCTACTCCGCTCCTGTTTCCTGGAATATCTTGTAAAAAGATCTGAAGCTCTCGACCTTTGACCTCTCTAAGTGTCTTTAAGAATCTGTTGGACTCCTGGCAGGGACCAATGCAGACATGTTCCTGTTTTTAGTTTTCTACATTCACCTTATGATCTAGCTGTTTTTTTGCTATTTTTGCCATCTTATTTTAATTTGTTTAAAAAAAAATTTGCATGTGTCTTTTATGATTGTCCATTGTGTCATCATTCTTTGTTGAAATCAGGTCTCTCTTGTAAATGAGTCCTCGAGGCTCAATGGGATTAAGCTGTCTAAATAAAGGTTGAATGAATGAATGTAACATCACCATGTCTATTAAAGTTGGGTGATATGCTAATCATTTTCAACAGCTGACCATCACCTCAACAACTGGCAAGCTGTTCACACAGATGTTTGTGCTGACGGGACGAGGCTAGTCCCTTCTGTCTGATCCTGTTTGTGGTGTTCATGGACAAGATCTCTACGTGCAGGGTCTATTTTGGGGACAGCGAGATCTCATTTATTCTCTTTGCAGATGCTGTGATTCTACTGGCCTCTTCAAGTCATGGCCTTCGGTGTGCACTGTGCACTGTGGCAGTTCACAGCCAGTGTAAGGAGGCTCCTCTAAAGCCAATATCCCACTGGGCTGCAATTTCTGGAGAGAACCCTTGGGTCAAGGGGTTGCCAGCTCGAATCCCCTGACAGTTACAACAAAATTTGTGTGGTAAAGGAAAAGATCCCACATCTGCTTCCACCCTCATTTGCCTTTAGTAATGCCTTTAACAGCCCCCCATCTACTCCCCCAGGCACCCTATATGGCAACCCTCTGCTCCACACACGGGCTCGGTGGTTGCGTCAGGAGGGGCATGCAGTGTAAAACAATTGCCAAATCTTCATGTGAGTTCCAAGTTTGCTTGTTATGGCAACCCCTGAGAAAGGTAACAGCACGCCCACCCAAAAAAGTTGGCAACTCCGAATTGCGAGAAAATTGCTAAAGAATAGGTAGGAGTTATTTTGCTTGTGTAAAAGGTTGGGTATGCGTTCCGTTTTTTGTATTACTTAACGTATAGTTCTATTAAATAAATTACTTGGGGGTGAGGTGGGACATCAGGTTTTTTTTGTTCTTTTTTTAGTATTTTCATCTATGGCCACAACCAAAGGTTATAGGACAGTAATCCTGATTGAGTCTTACATTTTATATGCCCCTCAGTTTAAATAAAGTGGGAAAAAATTGTCTTTAAAAAAAGTGATGGACAAAGTCATGTCCTATAAGTTTGTTGCCTGACCCTAACATTGATGTTTTGTGAAAGACTCCCTTTGTTGTCCTTGAAACTCAGCGTTGCACCTTGTGTCTGAACTATGGGACAACATTTGGATTGTGTTTTTCCCCATGACAGAGCAGAGGAATGCGAATACCGTCTGTGGGTAAGACAATGGTCTGAGTCTGTCATAGTCCTCTTGTCCTGCTGTATCCCAAAGGCCCAAGTTCACTGGCTTCCCATCCACCATTACATTGGCAGAATAGTTGTCAAAGCTGTGGGAAAGAGGATACACATCACCACATAAAGAGAGTTAGAAGTACAAACCATTAAACAGAAATATATATTTGGACAATGAAATGAGCTCAACCTTATATATATATATATATATATATAAATACACAGCCAAAGAGAAATCAGATCTTCTAAATTGTTTGAAAAATAAGATAATCATATTTTAAAGGAGTAGAGTTTTGTGTAACAGTTAAAAATCATTTATACCATGCCTGTTGTAGATAACTCTTTGAACAATCTCACTTTCAAGAAATAAAGTTCAATCCTGACAGGACTGAAGCTTAGACCAAAGTGGATTGTGCAATCTAAAAAAACTCCAGCCTCAAAGATCTCAGTGATTCACACAAGCACTTCTTTAAAAATCTTTATACTGCAGTCAGTTTCACATTACACAGTTTATTTATTTATTTATTTATTTATGTTATTTGTGGTTATTTATAAATGTAAATAGTGCCAGCAGTAGCAATACATAGCACTTCTGGGGCATCTAGGGGACCACTGGTATAAAGGTTGAAATAATAACATTTATACAAACTACCCTGAAACTTTGAAGACTGGAACTGTTTTAAAATGGCAGCAGTACATTTTGGAAGTGGGTCCATTGGGACAAGTCAATATTTGTTTGTCAATATGACCAACATAGATCTATGTCCATCTTAAAACAGCTACAGTTCCAATCTTCAATATAATATCATTGAATAATAACATGGTTTATACAAACAGTATCATTTCCACATCCACAGTAGTGGTCAACAGATTTGGGTCTCTCTACGGCCGACGCCAGTCTTTAGAAATCAGGAGGAAATTCAACATGCAACTGCAAAGATCTCCTTGTTGTTCTTACTGAAGATCCTCAGGATGATATAAATGGTAATTATACAATAATAAAGAGTTCAGAGTACCAGGAGATGAACAAACTGGACAACAGATGATGTAAAAATGTAAGTGGTTAGATTTTAGTGAGTGTAGCTGGCGACGGGAGAAGGGAGGACCTACAGGATGATAGATGGTGAGTTCAAGGTTTCCAGTAAGCTGACAAAATTATCACAACTTGTTTGTTTTATGAAGTGGGTTATATTGACATAATCTTCTTTTCCAGGTCCTGGTGGATAATGGAAGGATTCCAAAATTCAAGGTTCAAGGAGAGGATCTCAGGTAAGTGATGGTAGGCCAGGCAGATGTTGGAATGACACAAATAATCTGCTCAAGAAGTGAATTGTGGGGGGTGGTGACGCGGGGGTTGGAGAGGGTGGGCCTGTGGTCGGAAGATCGCCAGTTCGGGCCCCGGTGCCGACGGCAATGGGGATGTGGGTGGGGTGGGTGGAGCCCCCACACCTGCCCCCGCCCCCGTTCGTCCCACTCTGGGCCCTTAACCCCCACCATCTGCTCCTCCGGGTGTCCTAGATATCAGCTCTCTGCTCCACACAGAGGCTGTGGTAGCTCGGTGTCTGTGGTTGCATCAGGAAGGACATCTGGCGTAAAAATAACTGCCAAGTCTTCGTGCGACTTAGTTCGATGTGGCGATCCCTGAAGAAGGAGCAGCTGAAAGAAGAAAGAAAGCTCTGGGATGGTTGACTGATCATCACCATGTGGTAATCAACGGTCCAATGAAGACTTGTAGTCCAACTCAGCCATAAGTAAGAGACAGTGATTATCTGTAGTGGAGACAGACGTGGGCTCTCAGCTCTGCCCACTCCCCAGCTCCTGTAAAAGGTGGTTAATGGAAGAAAGCAACAACCAGACAGAACACTAACACAGGACGTGTCTCTGGTCTCTGCTGGGCCTACTTGATGAGGGCTGACGTTTGACTTGCCCAGAAGAGATCAGCAGAAATGAGGACACCAAGGAATTTGAAGATGTGGACCCTCTCCGTTCACCATTGATGCAGAAGAGGGCTGGGTCAGTTTTTTTGTTTCCTGAAGCCCAGGACTTCTTTGTTTGTGTGGTGTTCAACACCAAACTATTCAATAAACACCAGGCTGTTGACTTCAAGACTGTTTGTTGCCTCACCCACTCCTGAAGAATGGTCCGGCCACTGTGGTGTTGTCAGCAAATTTGACAATGGCGTTGTTTTTATGGGCTACACTGCAGTGATGCAGACAGCTGGGACAGCGCAGGAGGCGACTCAGCCCTGAGGAGAATCAGTGCTCACAGGACAAATCTCACAGTTTGAGGCCAAATGATGAAAAAAAAAAGAAATCCATTATTTAGACATTTGTAAACAGGAGCTCCAGTCTGGTGATCAAAAAGTCTGAGATAATTGTGTTAATGCCACAATTATAATAATGCTATAATCCCCAAACAACATCCTCACATAACTGTGCTGCTGTTCCATGTTATTCAGCAGGACATGGTGTTTTCAGTCGCTTGATATGTGAACTGGTATGGGTTGATCTGCTGAAGAAGAAGTCTCTCACTTTATATTTTTGGGTGTAAGAGCAACAATAAGGTGATAGTCGTTACAGTTGATTGCAGGAGATGTCTTTGTCACCAGGATGATTCTGGCAGACTTCAGGCAGGGGGAGAAACTGCTTGTGCCAGTGACCGATTGAAAATCCTGGTGAGGATGGGAGCGACCTAATGTGTGCATGTCTTGAGAACCTTGCCAGGTACTCTATTTGGGCCAGCAGCCTTTCTGGGGTTCACTGCATCCAACTCATGTCATGCTCCCTTACAGTGAGCGGACGGATGTTGGAACCTGGTGAAGCAGAGGGCCACACTCAGGTCACCTGTTCTCATGTCACAGCCTGTGTAGTTTGTGATGTTCTGTAGGCTCTGCCCCACCCCCATGGGTTATTACTGAAAATATAAACCTCTAGTCTTATAGCTTTCTGAATTTCACTTATCAGGTCAGCTCGAGCAGCACTGTAAAGAAAAAAACACAATAAACCGTCTTGATGAACCGACTGAACATTGATTGATTTTTACCTGGATTATTGAGCATGGACTTTGGAACACTATAGAGCTCTATCACTCCACCTGACAGCAGTGTTGCAAGCCATGGGGCATCTGCAGACCTGGCTGGTCATCCAAATGTTTTCGTTTGGGGAAAACCTGAATGTAAATGGTAAATGGACTGTACTTATACAGCTCCTTTCTATCTTATTTCAAGATACTCAAAGCTCTTTACAACAATCTGTGCCTCATTTACCCATTCATACAGCTCTATACTAGATCTCTACAAAGATAATTGAACAAATCATTCTAAAAAGACTAATCAGTGATTTATCACATTCATACACTGATGGGACACACATCAGAGGCAACGAGGGGTTCAGTGTCTTGCCCAGAGACACTTCGGCATGTGACTGCTGGTGGATTCGAACCCCCAACTCTTGCATTGGAGGACGACTGCTCTAACCACTCAGCCACAGCTGCCGAATGTAGGGCGGAACGGTGGCACAGATAGCAGAGCTGTTGCCTCTCAGCGAGAAGGTCACTGGTTTAAATCCCGATCTAGGTCTTTTCTGTGTGGAATTTGCATGTTCTCTCTGTGCATGCATGCTTTTTCTCCATATTCTACGATTTCATCCCACAGACCAAAAACATGCATGTTAGACTGATTGGTAACTCTAAATTGTCCCTAGGTGAGAGAGTGAATGGTTGTTTGTCTCTATGTGTCCCTGTGATGGACTGGAGACCTGTCCAGGTGTCCCCACCTGTCACACAGTGACTGCTGGACATGAACACCAGTGACCCCCGTGACCCAAAAAGGAAGAAGTGGGTAAAGATGATGGATGGAAGGATGGAAAACCTGAATGTTTTTATCCACTGTCACTTTTTCAATGCAGAACTTAACATAGTCCAGTAGAGTCCATGTATATAATGTATTTCCATGTCCTCATGTACAAATAAGCTCCCATTTGAGTGAATACATTCCTGTGGTTCAGAGTGCATTTTAGATGCAACAGTCTTTGTGACAGGCCTGTTTCTCCATCTGAAGGAAGGATACATGTCTGGCTGGCCAATATGTACTTTCATTTAACTTAAATATGATATTATGTACAGTATTCAACAACACTTTGAGGAACTTGCAAACAAAATTAATATAAAGAAAAACAGTCTTGCTGAAAATTTTAAACTGTGGGCAACAATTAGCTGGTTTTAACAGATGCTGCTGCAGCTTCATCTTCCTTCTTTGCAACTGATTAAATACACAGTGGTATGACTAATTGCATTTTTTTAAAGTGGTAAATTTCAGTCCCATGAATTGTTCAGCCAATTGATTGTTCTACCATTACTCAATGCCAGAATAATATTCTGCATTTAATTTGGCAGTAATATTGTGATTTCTGCAAGTTGTGACGCCCCAGAAGCCCCCAAAATGCAACAAGTCACAGCTGTTGCTACTTCAGCTTGTAATTTTTATTTATTTAACCTTAATTTATCCAGGTAGTCTCATTGAGTCACGAGAACTCATTTTCAAGAGAGACCTGTTTTGGGAGCAGCTGGGGGTTAAGGGCCTTGCTCAAGGGCCCAGAGTGGGGCGAATGAGAGTGGAGGCAGGTGTGGGTGCTTCACTTTTCCACCCACATTTTGATGTTATCAGTCCGGGGAGTTGAACCAGCAACCTTCCAATCATAGGTTCACCTTCTCTATCCTCTGTTCCACCACTCTCCAACCAAATATCCATAGAAATATACCATTATGCAAAAACGTAATGTAATACAAAACAGATGTCAGTGTAAAGGCTTATGGCGTGTGTTCATATGAGTCACTGGAATATTTTGGACCCTGGAGTTGTTTAAAGAAGGCAGCTGTCCACTTTGGTCTCTTGGCTACATGGTGTTAGCTTATCAGTCCTGTTGGATAGAAACCCTTAACTTTATTTCTTTAACTGAGGTCACCAGAAGCTATCTACGATTGGTTAAATAATTTTTAAAAGGTAACAAAGTCCATGCTCAATAATCCAGGTATATAATCTAACAATTTTCAGTCAGGTCATCCGGACAGTTTCTTTTTTTTGTGCTAAAATGTTTCACCTTCCATCCAGAAGGCTTCATCAGTCAAGGAAACACACAACACAAAACTGATTCTTCCCCCAACAGCTTACTCCAAAGTGGAACAAACCAGTTGTGTTGGTGCTAAGATGGTGTCTTTGGCACGCCCCCTCCTCTGGTGCCGGCCCTCTCCCTCGTCGACAGTCATGTCAAACTGGTTCAAAACCAACAAAGTCCATGCTCAATAATCCAGATTTGTTGCACTTTGGAGTAAGCTGTTGGGGGAAGAATCAGTTTTGTGTTGTGTATTTCCTTGACTGATGAAGCCTTCTGGATGGAAGGTGAAACGTTTCAGAAAAAAAAGAAAATGTCCAGATGACCTGACTGAAAAATGTTGGATTATTTAAAAGTGCTCCACAAAACCCCACTTCACAAGATCTGAAACGTCTTTTTAACACACTTTACAGACTTTTCAGGAGGATTTTCCTAAACATACACCCCACATCTTCAAATAAAAAATGTATTAACTTGTGAGCTGAAACCAGATTATTCACACAGATTTACTAATCCAGCTGTAACAAGAGCTTATAAAAGCACACATAAGCTTCTAGATTCATGTTTAGTTCAACATTTTAAGAAGTGCCCAGTTTATGTAAAAACATATTTATTTGTTTTGTTCAGGGTCTTAAAAACAACTAAAATGTGGGACTTCTGCTCTGTCAGCTCCCTGCAGCCTCATCTGAGAAGCACCTGAGGACCATCAGCTTGATGAGCAGGAGGAGCATAAAAGGCAGCAGAGGACGTCCAGTCAGTGCTGGAGCATTACCTGCCAAGAGTAGTTGTGTTCTAGCCTTTTACTGTGAACTTAACTAAAGATTAAGCAACTTTATATTCTTTGGGCTTTCAGTATAATCCCCGATGTCCTCCTGTCTCTGTGGACCTCAAGCTCTCCTGTGCCTCCTCAGCTGTCTCCACACCTTCCTACCACCTGCCTGCCTCCTGCCTGGAACCATTGGGTCACCTTTCCCCACAACTGACTCATATTCCTACCATAAGAAAGAGCAGCAGAAACATTATCACCCCTGCTGACAGATCATTAACCGTTCTCCTTGCTCTTCAGGGTTGCAGCTCCCTCCATGGCACAACTGATGTATTATCACACTGTAAACCTTCTCGGAGTCTTGGGACCTGTTCTCTTCAGTCCTGGTATCTGGGTATAGCTGCAATTGTTACACAAAACAAAACAACAAACAAAAACTAAACTAAAATGCAGAAAAAACTTTTGTAAACTAAGTCCATCCTCACTGCTTCCATAGGAGCTCAAGATGCACTCTGGTGTCACTGGGACATGGGAAGTTTAATCTACTGGAGTATGTTTGAAATGAAAATAGGCAGAGTTGGATCAGGTCTTTAACGATTACAACTTGTTCAAAATGTTCAAATGTTGAATGTTCAAAATTCAAGCAACAAGGCTGCAAGCATCTATGAGAGGAAATTGAAAATCTCACAAACTTTGTGAGACATTCTGGAGACTTCCTTGGGAATTCTGTTTACCAACTATTGGCCAGCAGTTGCTGGGAACCAGCACCTCCAAATCTGAGGCCATGGTCTCAGTCAGAAAAGGGTGGATTGCTCTCTTCAGGTCGAGGGTGAGGTTCTGCCTCAAGTGGAGGAATTCAAGTATCTCTGGGTTTTGTTCACGAGTGAGGGAAGAATGGAGTGTGACATTGACAGATGGATTGGTGCAGCATCTGCAGTATTGCGGACTCTGTGCCGGTCCATTGTGGTGAAGAGGGAGCTGAGCGGTAAGGCAAAGCTCTCTGTTTACCGGTCAGTCTACGTTCCTCCCCTCACCTCTGGTCATGAACTCTGGGTAGTGACAGAAAGAATGAGATCATGGATACAGGTGGTTCAAATGAGTTTCCTCTGCAGGGTAGCTGGACTCTCCCTTAGAGTTAAGGTGAGAAGTTCAGTTATCTGGAGAGACTCGGAGTAGAACCACTGCTCCTCCACATCGAGAGGAGCCAGGTGAGGTGCTTCGGGCATGTCCGACTGGGAGGAGACCCAGGACACACTGGAGAGACGGGTCTCTCAGTTGACCTGGGAACACCTTGGTGTCCTTCCTAGAAGAGCTGGAAGAGGCTGTGGAGAGAGATGTCTGGACCTCCCTGATCGAGCTGCTGCCTCCACGACCTCACTTTGGAACAAGAGGAAGATGATGGCTGGATGGATGGATGGCTGGATGGCTGGTTGGATGGCTGGATGGATGGATGGATGGCTGGATGTATGGATGTATGGATGTATGGATGGATGGATGGATGGATGGATGGATGGATGGATGGATGGATGTATGGATGGGTGGATGGATGTATGGATGGGTGGACGGACGGACGGACGGACGGACGGGTGGGTGGATGGATGTATGGATGGATGGATGGATGGATGGATGTATGGATGGGTGGATGGATGGATGGATGGATGGGTGGACGGACGGACGGATGGACGGACGGACGGATGGACGGACGGACGGACGGATGGATGGATGGATGGATTCGCTGCCCAGTAGAGTGATGTGACTGAATGTATAATTCATTAGAGTCAACATAATTTATTCACAATGACTCTTTAAATGACTGAGACACAGTTTGTGCTTTATGTAGCCAGAGTACATTTTTGTGAGCTAACTAGAGAAAACATTGGGACATTTCTGTAGCTTCAGAGTAAATCATGTAATAAATTAATTTACACTTTGAGCAGACCACAACAATGGTTATTTGTTGTGAGCCAACAACTAGTGTTCAAGAGTCGCAGCCTTGTGTTGCACCTTTTATAGCCAACAAACATCTGGATCCTTCTAGTATGAAGACATACCAAGACTAATTCCCACACGTTCATGGAGCCACAAACAAAATGGTGGAAACAAAGCGGATCAGAGTGCTCTAACGTTTGATGTGTGGAGATGAACATAGACAGAATGTTCAGTCACTGAGCTCAGCCTTTTGTTCCCAGACCCTTGTTGAATGAGAACTGTTTTATACTGCAGCTAAACCTCTGGTCTCTTTAGGTCTGAGAGATTCTTTGCTCAGGATTTTGTTTGCGGTGTGATGATGTATGCATTGAAATGAAATCATAATCATTTTATCGTTGCATAGCAGTCCTCTGAACTGTAATCAAAATGTGAATTGCCTACAGATTCCCACCTCTAATATCAGCACGCCTCATATTAACTGTCAAGCATGGTGATGGAGGGGTGATGATTTGGGCTTAAACTGCAGCCACAAGACCTGGACACCTTGCGCTCATCAAGTAGAATGTGAAATCCTATGTGGACCAAATAATTTACAAACTGGAGGCCATCGGTCTGAGCGCTGAAGTCAACAGGGTGCAACAGAACAATGACCCTGCAAACAATGACACAGCAGCTAATCTACAACAGAACGGCTCCAAAGGAAAACAGCCTAGGTCCAGTCAAAATCCAGAACCTCAATGTGACTGAACAGAAACAAACGTCTGCAAACCTCAATGAGCTGAAGCAACACTGTAAGAAGAGAAAACCAAAAGGCCTCCACAATCAAGTGAGACTCATTCAGTCCTACAAACCCACTGCTCAGCGTTAAAGCTGCTGAAGGTATTGGGCCATACTTAGTTTTAATTCTACTTCTGTTTCACTGCATTCTTGAAAAACTTGTTAAATAAATATGAACTTCCACAATGAACTTTACCAAGGAGAGATGTAGTCAGTAGGGGTGCACTGACTGCAGTTTTCTGGTCGATCACCAATTTCTAAAAAGTCTGACCTGCCGATTCAGATTTTGTTTGATAACTGTCAGGTGTTATAAAGTCACAATGCACCGTCCATTCTCCATCTTATTTTATAGAAAAACAGAGCCTGGAACAATATCCTGGAAACAATACAAACTTGTTTTAACTGGCCACGAGGTCGTGTTTCTGAAATATAAATGAAGTTCAGACAATTGTTGTTAAAACTAAAAAAATCAGTTTCTCATGCAAGTATCAGACGAATTCCCAAAATTAAGGAAATCAGGGCCGATTTATTGGTGCACCCCTAGACTAGTCAGATTATTTATGTAAAAGCATCCTCCTTTATTTTAGTAACTATTTAATGTTTCAGTGTTAATACATTGTGTCAGAGCACTCATTGTATGGTCATGGTGTGTGTGTGTGTGTGTGTGTGTGTGTGTGTGTGTGTGTGTGTGTGTGTGTGTGTGTGTG